CTGCCCACTTCATGAATCACTAATTTACATTTCAGCCAGCTTACAATGGCAGACGACTCATTTCACTCACACGCCGCATAAAAATAGCCATACTCCAACCTTATATGAGATATCGTTTCACTGGATGTGGGCTATTCTCCTTCAAAGCCCAGTTGAATCCATCTTATGTTATATGAGTGGTTATATTTTGGCAGAAAATGTTATCTAAAATTTCCATTATAATTTGAGATTAAGACTGGATTATGCCGCTGAATTTTACTGTATCGTGCTTCCATTAAGGAAGTTCTCATCCAGGATCGACTACACTTTTGACCTCCCACATGATTCTCTGAACCCCTGGTCGGATTCCGTTCCTTATGGACCTAACTGCCATTAGGCCACCCTCGCTAACCTGGAGCTTGCTACTAATTTATCCAACCTCTCGCCTCTTATGCTAATTTTCCTTTTTGTATGCATATATATTCCAATCTATCAACAGGATGCATTTTCACGTTATTCGCTGGTCACATCCCGTAGTCTCTTGGCCTTCGCTTCACCGGTTCATCAACTCCGTCCCCAAGAACTTTCAGCCGAAGATTGGTCTTGAGGTACACGCCCAACTAAAGGCCAGAACAAAGTTGTTTTCCCGGGCAGCCTACCGATTTGGTGCTCCGTCCAACTCTCAAATAACTCTTTTGGATGCTGCGATTCCCGGCAGTCTTCCAGTACTTTATGCTTCGTTTATTACCCCATGAATACTACTCTAAGTTAGGATTGATTATTTTTACTATATATAATGTTCTTTTCTATCATGTTGAATCGGCTACGGGTTGCATTAAATAAAAACAGACAGTACTATCTACGAATATATTCTCCCGTATTTTCTATGGGCTCTTTTTTGTCTAGGGGAAAACTTAGAATATCAAGGGAAGCAATTGACTATCCTATATTCTCATAGGATATTTTTGGACCTTATTTTCGCAACGTAGTCATATTTTCAGGAAGACCTAAAGGAGCGCATCTTGTCCAGGGTCCAGGATAATTTCCAGAGTCGGATCGTGGTCTTAGTACGTTCATAGACGCTTCGCAGACATCGTAGTCTGAATCACCATTCTTAGCACTACACTACAACTTGTAAAAACGACAAGTTGAGTCGATCCTTTGAACAATTGACTGCTTCATCTCTCTCTTTGATGAGTTGTAGTGTGCTGCTAAGAATGGCAAGGTTCACTGACGATGTCGACGAAATGTCTGGGAATGTACCAAGTCTATGATCCGACTCCGGAAATTATCATT